CTGCTGTTGTTTATTGTTCCTTCTGTGCCATTGTATTAAATTCTCCTTATGCCAGCCCACGGGGGTTTGTATTTCCCCCCCCTCCTACCTCCCGGGTTGGGGAGTTGAGTGAACAGCCCCGTGGTGGTGCTCGGCTCCCGCCTGGGTTTAAACCACCACACCTGCCTACCAGTCTCTGCCATTTTATCCAGTGCAGGCAATGGAAAATGTGGAACTAGGAGGTTGGGCAGACTGAGTTAACAGTGTTCTGTGAGGGCTGGAGGAACAGTGCAGAGGTGGGAACAAGCATCTGGGAACTGCAAGCAAGGAAAGATTTTCTATGAAAATGAACCAGACATTCATTCAGAAAAAAGTGTGAAGGGGGGAATGGCCTCATATCAGAAGGAAATAAAAGGATAATGTTTTGGCAAGACCTGGCAGTGATGAGGGAAAAAGAAGTTTTGGGGGTGAAATTTCTTCCAATGGGAGGAAGCAATAAAATGATTTATCCATTCTGCACCTAGAGGATCTTAGTTTTGCTGTATTTATTGCAGCTCCATCAGGGAAACTGGACATCTGGAGAGAAATTACATCAGCTTCAGGGGGGCAGAACGTGACCTTGTTCTGGAAGGTGAGACACGGTTACAGAGACAGAAACAAAACCCTTCATTAAGGGGTTGGGAACTTCTCATGAGCTTTATTTTAGTTCCTGTGCACTTAATAGCAGTTCAGTATGAATATGTCTTTTAAAATCTAAGGTATTTCAGAATGTATGTATCTGTATGAGGGTGTGCTGTCCTGGCATTTCAGACGCATACTTCTAAGTGTTACAACAAGACAAATCCCACTATGGAGATTTCTGCATTTCCTTCTAAACCAGTATATGTATGCATGTATGGAAATAAGTGTTTCGATTCTTAGAGAAATAACACATCCGGTTAATTACTTCAAGTTCTAACTGGTTGGTTGGTTGGTTGGTTGATTGTTGTTGTTTGTTTTTTTTTTCCAAAATTTACTAAGCAATTAATGTCTATCTCCATAACATCTTCCTTAGCAAGCACCAAGTTTTCAAGCAAATGGAGAAAATATTTCATATGAACTAACCTGGGAAAAAGAAGATGGCTCTAAACCTGAAAGCATCTCACTTGCATCAATCTGCAACAGCACAAGGATTTTCATTGACAACTATTCCTACAGAATCAGTATCAAGGCAAAAAACAATGTTAATTTTTCACTTCCTTCAGTATTGATCATCCCTAGAGCTACAGGTAACTGCAGGAGTATTTTCAGTTAGAATTCCATTACAAGAGTTTTGCTTCTGCCTACTTTAAGGGATAATTTATAATCTTGGGGAAACAAATTAACCTGGCCTCTTAATTCACATCAATGCTGTCTGGAAATTATTACTCTGTTCTTGCTTACAGGGTGGTAGCTGTATGTCTATTAAACTTAAGTGACTTGATCTGTCCCTTACAACAGAAAATCTGTTTGCCTTAAACTGGGGCCTCGGGCCCGTGGCAAGTGCCATGAAGGTGCAGCCACTGCCTCGCACAGAATTCTTGTGTGTAATTGGCTTGCTGTGACTTTCTGTTTAAAACTCCAGGTTTCTGCAGTTGAATTCTTTTTATAAATATGTAGTAGTAATTACTGGGTGGTTTTTGAGCTGTCAGCTTTCAGCATATGAAGAGATCAGCTTTCAGAATGTGGAGGATCCCATATGTCTAATAATGAAGGAATGCAACATGGTTTTTTTTATTGTTTTAACAGCTTAGCATAGAAATTACGTTGATCTTCATTTATGAATCTGATATCTCATGCAGGAAAATGATAGAAACTCTGTTTTGTTCATTCCTAGGCACTGAAGAGCTTAAAGAAGAACAGGTTAACGGTACAGATGATGGAATTTTTATTTCCTGGGAGCCCAGACACATATATGACAGTTACATTATTGATTGGTGTGACTTTCCAATGTCACAGCCTTGTGATTTGCAGTGGAGGAGGTTTGGGCCCAACGTTTCCAGTGCTCTGATCAACTCAGGTGAAAGCCAAACAATTTTTCTTTCTGATGTCTGTACAGCAATCTTTCATGCTGTGGCCATTAATCGAATTCAGGAAACAAATCCTGTAGAATATTGAAGTCTGTGCAATGCAAGTGTAATTCTTCAAAGGCCTGTGGCATTGTGTTTTGCCTAGCAAATAAACTAGACACAACAAATGTCCCAGCACCATTAAGCCATGGAAGTCAGCACAGGATTTTAGAAAAGTCTGTAGTATTTTAGAGAAAAATTATTCTGAGCTGCTTGTAGTAACATCTTGAAGGAGGATGGTGAGGTTAATGAAGGAATTGAAAATCTTTTACCAGGAGAGATGTGAAATGGAACTGTGCCTTAACTGTAACATGGGTCAGAAATTTACAGTTGGGCAATTTAACAAACACCCACTGTGTAGTGAGAGGTTTAGTGCTGTCAGTGTGCTACAAATAACGTGTCTTGGCAGCAGTCCTTGCTTAGGACCAGTTGTGTGTTTTTCATTCTGGTGCTGGCCATTAAAATCTGAGTCCTTTCTGGCTGTGTGAAAGTTGCTCTGATATGCTTCCTCAGCGGCAAGGATGGAACCTTCCTCCTGTCTCTCAGGCTGAGTTCATGTTGGAATGAAACACGTTTGAACAAAATTTGACTGAACACGTTCTGCTATGCAGTAAAGGAACTGCATTGCAGTTCATACAAACTCATGGGGCCCTGTGTCTTTACTGAAGGAGAGTCTGATAACACATGAAAAAATATTGTCCCGTCAGTCAGTTGGGTTGCACTTGGTTAATATGAACAGGAGTGATGCCAGTGAAGATAACATGGAATGCTATTGCATGGGTGTATGTCCACATTAAACAGTCCAAAACACAACCATTGCCTGTGCCAGAAATGAAAGTGAAATGATCTTGCTCTTTGGTGCATTCAGAGTCTTTTGTGCACTCATCGTAAATACTCTAGGGCAACAAAATATACTAACCCCCCCCGCCCCGAGTTCTCTCTTCCAGGCAGAATAAATGTGTTCAGTTTTTATGTACACAAGGAATTTGTTTACTCTATGTCTTCTTCAGTTGTTTTAATAGCGCAGAAGAATTGTAATGGATTTAAATCCATTGTAGAATGCAGTTCAGTAAAAGCAAAACCAAACCAAAAGGCTTTGGTAACTTAGTTTTGAAATGAGTTCCACTATTTTCCAGCTGCTTTTGTTCCGGGGGTAAGATACAACTTTGGTGTCTACGGATCTGTTGCTAATAGAGCCTCCTTACTGGAGAAGAAGACTGGTTATCTCAGGGAGCTACGTAAGTTGGAAACATATTCAGAGTTTGTGTATGTGCTAAATTCATCTGTCACAAACAGAAGAATTCTTCAGCCTTCCTTCTTCAACTAGCTGAAAATGTATTTGCTGTGTTGTTTCTGTATCATCAGTGGAGCATTTAAACCTTGTACAACAACGTACATGGCCCTCCATGAAGGATCTTTGACTGTGTCATTTGACATGTTTGATGTAATCACTGAATAGCAGTCACTGATTTGTGAACAGTGTGAGCTGCTTGAATGCTCTGTAAAGCTGACAGGTTTTGTGGAGTGCTTTGGCTTTGTTCAGCTTTTAAATACAAGTAAGTTATAAACAGAAATACCGCATGGGAATTTAAACATGCTTCAAGTGAGAAGATAAATATTCTTGAAGAATAATGGCAAGTTTATCTTGAATTTCTCTTCTTCCAGCTCCTCTGTTTGACCCTGTTGTGGAAAAGGTGGAGCTGACCCTCAATGCAGTAACGCTGTCTTGGGATTCTTATCGCACGAATGAGTCACAGCCTGGTTTTGTAAGAGGCTACCATGTTTATGTGTCGCCTGTACAAGGGGACTGCAGTTTGAAAGGATCCAAAAAACACGTTCTTCCAGGTAACTGAGCCCTGGGGCTTAGGAATGTGTGTCGTTGCTGCATGTGAAACACTTTGTGGCTGTTGCCGGTATTGCAGCCTAGTGGAAAGTTTGCTTTAGGCAGGCAAATTGGCTCATTAGGCAATATGCAGATTTCAACGCCAGTTGCTTTGATTCCTCTCTAATGCCTGAGGTTCTAAGGAGTGGATGTGGGACCTGGCTTTATACAGATTTATAGCCCCAGTCCTGTTGTCCGCAGCTTTTTTTAATTCCAGTGTGAGCTCTAGAAACGATTCCTGCGGTGCTGTACGAGGAGTTTCTGCCTCTTGTGGTCTGAGTTCTGGATAAATTTCGAAAACACCTGTTTGAGGTCTCCTTGGATGAGAGTCATAGGAAGCACATTAGTTTTACAAGGATTTGGGGTACTTTAGAAACAGATGGGATACAATTTATTTCCTTCAGAATTACAGCATTGTGTAAATTCCCCATTTAAATTCTTTTTGAAAGTATTTGTTGCTGTGCTGTATGGTGGAGTTCCTTCAGCAGAACCGAGCTGTGGGGTGGCACAGAGCCAGGTTTAAAATTTTATATCTGATCTTCCTGCTCAACACTCAAAACTGCTCCAGATGACTTTGCTCCTTTATAATTTTCAGATGTTTCCAACGTGTTCAAGCTTTTTTTTTTTTTTTCCTTGCCTCTTCTTTCAGTTGGGTCATCATGTCCTTTGTAAGATTCCTCAGCTGATTAGACTAGTGCCAACCTGAAAAGCTTTGTTTGAACTGAAGGAGGTTTGTGTAGGTGTTCCTGACAGAACTCAACTAAACATAGAAGTACCGTAATCCTGGAAGTCATCCCAGTCAGGCTTTAAAATTTTTAAATCAACAGTTTCCTGCTTTTCAGTTTGAGCTAGAAAGACTAGTGGTGTGACTTGCAATAGGAGGTCTCAGCTAACCCTTTTGTCCCTGGGGTCTAGCAGCTACACAATTGAGAGGCAAAATAGTTTTTTTTTTTTTCAGGCAGAGACTTCTTGCTTACAATTATCTTCAAAGAACTTGACCTCAGCTTAAGGACTTGACTTAAGCTTAAGGACTTAAGGACTTGACTGAAACTTAAGGCAAAAAAAGGAAATGGCAAACCCCAAATTATTCTGTTAAAAAGCTCTAGTAAAAGGAAATTAAAAGGAACAGCTGCAGCTTTTGACAGCAGTTATCATATGGTCAGAGGATGGGCTATGCTGTGGACAGTCCAGTTAGAAGGGAAGTGAGTTCAGCCCAGTGGCCATGAGTCAGGCTGCATCATCCTTCTCAGAAGAAAGTGTGCAAATTACAGAGAAGGCAGGATCCAAATGTTCTGTCATTTCAGTGGCCTAGAGGTCTCAGTTAAACTAACCTGTAACATCTTGTGGAGACCTTATTGCAGCCTTTCAATGCTTAAAGGGTGACTGTAGGAAGGATAGAGGGAGACTTTTTACCAGGGCCTGTAGTGGTAGGACAAGGGATAATGTTTTTAAACTGGAAGAGGTTAGATTTATTAGCTATAAGGAAGAAATTTTTTACTTTGACCGTGATGAGACACTGGAACAGGCTTCCCAGGTGTCCCTGCCCTTGGCAGGTGGGGTAGAGCTAGATGATCTCTAAGGGGCCCTTCCAACCCAAACTGTTCTGTGATTCTGTGTTTCTGCCGTGTCTGTTCCATTGTAGATGTTGATTCAGTGCTGTGTAAATACACAGTTGAGAACCCTGAAGAGAAGCGATACAGGGTGGAACACCTGCTGCCAAACACCAAGTACAGGCTGGCGGTTAAAGCCTATACGGGCGGAGGAGAGACTCCCACGGCCAACTTCATATACATAGATACACCCTTTGACTGTGAGTATTCCCTGCGGAAAGTCTGTCTCCTAGCAGAAGGATGGAATGATTTAAAAGGTTGGAGTAATCCTCCCTTCTCAAGCGAAAACTTTTAATTCAGTGTAATGTGCATTTGACAGAGAATGCAACTGAGAAAAGAAATGTGCACACCAACACTGCATTTTGATACTTTTTAAGTAGCTGTGTGGGTTTTTTTTTTTTAATTTCAGAATGAAAGCAATTTTGTGTCCCTATTTAAGTCCTGTATGTTTCTGGGCAGTAGCTTAATGTATGCATATTTGCATGACTAGTGAGTCCTGTTCGTAGAATGCATTCAAGAGTTGCATTTGGGTTTAACTAATTTTCTAGTGATGTGAAAAATTGCATACCTGTGTGCCAACAGGTAACTTCTGTATGGACTCTTGAGCTTCTATGTTGATTCTTATGCTCATCAGTCTTTAAATCTGTTGCCAAGTTAACTCCTTCATAAGTCAGTAGGAAAGGGTTTTTGGCTTGAGCAGTGTAGTTTGTGCACTGGGCAGATTTGATGGTCAAAGCAGAACAGGAAATCACTTGCCTGTGGTTGTGTTCCCCTGAAAATACCACTCACTAGTCAGGGTTGTGAAATTTACAATCCAAATGGCAGATGCCTGGTTTTGAAATATTTGTTAGGGGTGGAGGTGAAAGAGGACGAGTAGGAAAGGGTGAAGCATTGGCTCGCCCCAGATTTCATGTCTTAGACTAACTAGCAGAACAGTGTCTAAACCCTCATGGTACCCTCACAGAGGCAGTTCCGTCTCCTGTATCCATATTCCAGCTCCCATTAGTTACCTTTCTCCTATGCAGGCACAGAGATTTATACAGTCATGCAGAGAACCAAAACGGGGACTTAATTAACCCAGCACAGATAAAAGGACAATGCAAGATGTGCCCGTTCCCTGCTGTGGTGTGTGGTTAGAGACACACAAACTCGCTGGCAGGGGCGAGAGGACACTGGCCAGGGCAGAGGAAGGGAGGGCCCGAGCCAGTGCTCCCCCTGGGCCTGTTGGTTGTAGCCCCAGCCGTTTGTGAAAAACGCAGCCCAAGGCTGTGTCTTCCAGCTGGCAGGAAGTACTGAGGTTCATGTGCCAGTATAAATCCTAGGAGAGCACAAACGCTTCCGTAGTGCCTGGCGTGGTACAGGGTGTCCATACAGGAGGTATGTTTGTCCTGTCAGTGTCCCATGGTTACAATCCATCTTCTCTGGGGCCTTGGGAGAAAACCTAAACCAAACAGTTAAGTGAGGTTGCCGTCGTCTTTAATTTTTGAAATCTACCCTTATTGTTAAGATGCCAACACGAGGGAAAATTGAAAGCATCGAGTAGTAATTCAATTTTATTAAAGGAAATAAAGGTCCAAAGATTTACAGCTGTATCCCAGAACTTCCAGCCAAACTATCTGGCAACCACAGACCACACAGTTTTTGTTATTGAATTATTAATTAAATAACCACTGAGTTATTGGCAGGTATCCCATGTGGATTTAATGTTACTTTTGTCCCAGAACCTTAGGCTACATTGACTTTAACAGGTGAGAAGTTGAAAACACATTTTTAAAGTATTTTTTTTCCACAGCAAGCATGCTGTATCTTCTCATCCTGCTAGTGATAGTCCCATCGTTGGTGGCAGCTGTGTGCCGCTGGAAGATGAGGTGGTAAGTTACAACGCGCTTCTCTGTGGTGGGCACAGGATGTCACTGGTCTAGTTCACAGCTGCAGCTTGTTGCTTCCCACCCATTTTAAGGCCTCATTCATTTTTTCCTGTGGCTGTCCAGCTGTGTGGATGTTGTAAGGATTTGGCTTGTGGCATTTCCGAGATGCTCATCACCTGCTGCTGTTTCTGTACACATCTACATGTGGCTTCTGCTGATAGAATGTGCTTTGATGAGGGAACAAAAATGTCGTTTGTTTGGCTCTCTTATTTCCAGGGTGAAGGAGAGCTGCTGTCCTGTAATACCTAGTCCTAACAAGAGCCAAGTGCTGTCATTCAAAGAGTTCAAGGTAAGATCACTGATAATCTAGTATCCTTTTCTTTTCTTCTAAAAGCTGCATACATCAAAAACCTGGCAGTCTACTTCAAAGTAGAGGGACATGGTTCCTTCTTACATAGTCACATTGAACTTCCTTAAAAAAGAAATCTCTAAATAAATACTGGTAAATTCCACATAAAATGCAGCTTCCGTTGAACAGTCTGTATGTTTTCCTTCAAGTTCTCTTCATTTATTTGAAAATTCCAGACAGAAGTGCTTGAAGTAATCAATCCCTTTCCTCTAGGCTTCTTGCACTGAGTATTTTTACTTGTTTGTTTGTTTTATGGTTCTCTTATAGATTGGTTCTGAGAAAGTATTGAAAATAAGTGACTGTGTTCCTGACATGCTAGCAGTGGACAGTAAGGTCGAGGGCCAGAAATTACATCTGTGGAATCAGCTGTCTCCAGTGCCAGCAGAAGATAAGACTGATGCTCAAAATTCTTCCTGGATGTACTCTAATGAAAATGAAGAGAGAGACTTAACTCCCAGATCTATACCTCAGAATCATACTTGGTTTGAAAATTTTGTTTATTCTTCTCATCTTGCAGTTGAATCTGATCCCTATCAAATATTGGAGACACAAGAAACGAGCATGTCAGGACTGCCAGCGGTGCTGTACCAGCCACACTACTACTTTGATATTTTAAATGAAGATCCTGTCTCAACACCCAAGGAAACAGCTGGCAGAAGGACCAGTGTGAGATACATTTCACAAACAGATGTGCACTGCCTTGGGAGGAGACTTTGATGTACTCTCCTCCACTGAATTCATCCAGTGTTTGCTTACACGCTATAACTAAGAATCTCTAAAACCACAACAACTTCTTTCGATGACGGTTTTCACAAGCCCAGCTGCTTAATTCTCTTAGCGCGGCAAAGCTGTTGCTTCAGGATGAGTTTCAAACTGCTGACCTGTGCACAGGAGCGGTGTGTGCTGTGGTTTCACCACACCATACGGGCATTAAATAAGATCTACAGGCAGTTTTGTGGCCTGTATTGTGTAGAAGGTTCCACCGTCTTCAGCTGAGCACTTTCTTATGGCCTGATGCTAAGAGTGACTATATTTTGCAGAGATGGAAGTGTAGTCAGGAGGTAGAGGAGCAAGTTCAACAAGCCTTGTGCTGGAGGAGCGCGTGTTGCTGGGCTGTCCAGCCTCGCCCCGCCCTGCAGCCCTCCTCGGCCCTGCACTGCAGGGGGGTGCGCTCCATGGTTTCACTCAGGTGAAGCAGGGGCTCA